GGGATCTTCCATCAGATTAATCTAATTTGATCATTAAACGGTTCCAATTCTAAAAAAAACAAATAGAATTCTCTGCATTTTAAAATTATTTTAATAATTATCAACTGTCTAAATTCTTATTTGCCCTTTATATTTGTTTTTTTGTTTATTAACAATGCGCTTTATTTTCAAATGTAAATTTTAATTAAAGAATTCTTAATATTTTTTTTCTATTAATTATAACTGTTTTAATAAAATTATAGTTTAAAAATGATTTTAATTGTTGATACGTATCGTCCCGAATGAGCAGAGTCGTCCCTGGGCCTAATTACTTTTGAACTCATTATTATTGGAACAAACGTGATCCGTCCTAATAAAATACTGGGCCAGATCTGGTTTGTAGAAGAAGCTAATAATGCGACTAACTTTCTGATTGGACAGTTGCTTATAGTCGTATTTTATGGTTTAAATTAGGGATAGGAATCGATTTAGTCGACTAAAAAATTTATATGTAAATTACTATGTTTAGTCGACTTAGTCGACTAAAAAATTTATATGTAAATTACTATGTTTAGTCGATTTAGTCGACTAAATCATATAGCCGATTCCTATCCCTAGTTTAAATAATCAGTCAAATGAATGCAAGTTAAGATAGTTACCTAAGATACCTATATTGCGTCGAAATTAAAAGGATGAACGTAGGGCCTTCGAATATTCCAATGGGTAACTTTGAGGGAACGTTCTGGGTCTGTTCCCGCTATGACTGGGGATTAGAGACAAAATAAATAAGATAAAAAGCATTCAGACATTACTTGAAATCAGATGAATAAATTAACTCCAACTTCATTATAATCTATTTCATTTAGTGAATGTAAGAATTATTTGGCCGTTATTTTGGATAGAAAATGAAACATAAAGGGTTGCAACTTAAACTTTGCTTTTATGTGTTTATAGTGAATAAAATTAAAGTTAGGCATTGAAACCTTTTTTGTAAAATCCGAAAGTTTTGGGCTTCGGGTTATAACTTCTGAAACTATGGCAGTGCGCCATAAATTCCTTCAGATTCTGTGTCTAATGAGTTATTGATCTTGCAAGGCCTAAATCAGCATATAAGCATTATATAAATCATTTTGCAATATATTACTGCTATGTAAATCACAATAAATAATATCATACACGACATAAGATAACTCTAATTTTTCCCTTTTCATTTGTGCAACAGCGTAAGATTTTTACGTAATGTTCCCATTTATGCATATCTAATAACCAAAATATAAATCATTGGTAGCTTCATTTTTTGATACTCCATGACATTGCCAAAAAGTTGTGCATTTACTTCCAATATTTAAATATGTATTTAGCTTTAAAATTTATATGTATTGTTGTGAGAACATTTAATGTCAGGGATAATGCTGATGCTGAAATTTGGGGACCTTAATTTGAAAATACAAACCCTATTAAAATCACATATACTCTTTTATTATTAACACTAACCCTAAATTCTAATCGAACTATAAAAAAAAGCTGAACAAAAATATCTCAAAAAAATTTTAAATTTCATAATAAAATAAGTCAAAATTTCAGCATCATCCCCGACATTTAATAATAAACTTTAAACATTTACCTCTTTTAAAAGTTTCTTGCAACTTCCTTTTGATCCATCCAAGAATTTAAGTGCAACAGTTTCACAACTATATCTCCTTTTGCTGAGTGTTCCAACTAGCAGAATATACAGTTGCAAACCCTCCTATTCCTATTTTTCTATGATTATTAAGTCATTAAATGGAATACATCGAATCTGCAATATTAATGATCACAATTTCTTTTAGAAATTCATCAATATCGTTATTATCAAAATTAATCACCTTTTGATCGTTAGCTTTTGTCAACTATACATTGCCTTTTCCTGATTAGGTAATGTTCTAATGCCATTTTGATAACATAATTCAATTATATTGCCTGGTTTTCACACAACCTCCTTCTGATTAATTGAAGCCTGAGCGTTATTTACACAGTTTAAAGTAATATTTAAGCGACCTTTTCAATAATATAGTTATTTCAGATTATTTTTTTTTTATATACAACTAAATAACGACAGCGAAACGAGGAATGAAATAGAGGCTTTTCGACATAACGGCCTTATGGCATTTTTTTATATAACGGCATTACATCGTAGCGGTATTATGGTTCACCGTAAAAAAACATATATGCGTCACAATCCTACCGTCAACTATAATTATGCATATTAGAAAAATAGTAAATGGATGAGTAAATAGCAAAATATATGAGTGCTGCCAAAAGAAAACCCAAAAATCTACTTTTTGTACGGGGTTTCAAAATTTTACATATGACTAGAAAGAATATTCCAATCGCTTATTCTAATTGTTTAGGTTGCGTGATTGATAAATCATAAGTACTATGTAATTCAACGCAAAAAAAAAAAAAAAGACAATGTGATGATACGAACTTGAATCAAAGTGATTAGAATGAGCAGTCATTTTTTATATTATATGTTGTCCGGATTTTTTAAATATCGCGTTCTGCCACACAGAGCACAAAATCTATTATAAAATTACGGTGATTTACACTTGCATGCTTGTTGTTGTTTTAACAGCTTCATTTCGGTACAATCTTCTTTTTTTATTTCTGATTAGGAAAAATACTTTCAGAAACAAATTATATTATACAGTATTACCCGGAAATTTTGTGTACTGCTGCCGCATAAAAAAAGATTTCTTTTTGCAATACTCATAGACTTTAAACACGGTTTTGCTCTATACTCACCCAAATGATACTATATATATATTTCATGTTATAAAGTTAAACACATGTTTATAGGTCTTAGAATTTTGCTCAAGCTGTTTCTATTAAATAGCTTTATTATATTTGTTTTCAAGATGTTCAATACAAATATTATTATTTGAAATATTCGATTTTTGATCGACATAATTAATGAATTGACTATTATGAATTGTATTGCCATCAATATTAGAATTCATATTTTTTATTGTCATCTCTTTATCACATTTTAAACACTCCGATATACATTCTGCATTATTCTTCCAGCTCATAATAATTTCATGAATTTCTAGAGCGGTTGGGCGATTGTTTGGATCTTTATCCCAACACTTTTTTAAAAGATCTCTATAAAAAACAGGTGTCCCTTTAGGAATAGTCGGTCTTAATCCACTGCAAATTTGTATTGTGAAACTTAAGTTGTCTTGATTATTTTTACGATCAGGATAAACAACATTTCCTGAAGAAATTTCCCACATAATCATCCCAAAAGAATAAATATCTGATGCTTTAGTAAATGGGTTTCCTCGTAAAACTTCAGGAGCAATATATGGCAATGCTCCATAAATTCCTCCAGATTCCGAGTCTAATGAATCGTTTATTGATCTTGCAAAACCTAAATCAGCAATATAAGCATTATACAAATCATTTTGTAATATATTGCTGCTATGTAAATCACAATGAATAATATTATGTGAATGAATTATTTGAAGATCAAACGCTATATAAGATAATAGTTCTAATTTTATCTCCCATTTCATTTGTGCAATAGCGTAAAGGTTCTTACCTAATGATCCCATTGGCGCGTATTGCATAACTAAAATATAATCACCAGTATCTTCATCTTTTGATACTCCATAACATTGCAAAAAAGTTGCGCTTTTGCTTCCAATATTTAAATATGTATTTAGCTTTAAAATTTATATGTATTAATGTGAGAACATTTAATAATAAACTTTATATCTTTAAACATTTACCTCTTTTAAAAGTTTCTTGCAACTTTCTTTTGATCCACCAAAGGGTTTAAGCGATTTAAGCGCAACAGTTTCACAACTAATATCTCTTTTTACTAAGTGTTTCCATCTAGCAGAATATACAGTTGCAAACCCTCCTTGTCCTATTTTTTCTAGGACTGTTAATTCATTAAATGGTATACATCGAATCTGCCATATTAATGATTTATTTTTATCCATAATTTCTTTTAGAAATTCATCAATATCGCCATTATTAGAATTAATGATTTTTTGATCTTTAGCTTTTGCTAACCATTCATCTGCTTTTTCCCGATTAGGTGATGTTCCAATACCATTTCGATAACACAACCCAAGTCTATATTGCCCATCAGAATCGCCGCCTTTTGCAGATTTTAAATACAACTCGAATGCTTTTTTTTCATCCTTAGCAATGCCTACGCCATGTTCGTAGAAATATCCAAGATTATATTGTCCTATAGAATCACCACTTTCAGCAGATTTTAAATACCACTCGAATGCCTTCTTTTCATTCTTAGTAGTGCCTATGCCTTCACTAAAACAGTATCCAAGGAGACATTGCCCACCAGAATTACCACCTTCTGCGGACTTTAAATACCATTCAAATGCCTTCTTTTCATCCTTAGTAGTACCTATACCATGTTGGTAGCAGAATCCAAGATTACGTTGTCCACCAGAATGGCCACCTTCAGCAGATTTTAAATACCAATCATATGCTTTCTTTTCATTTTTAGTAGTGCTTATGCCTTCGTAATAGCAGAATCCAAGATTACATTGTCCATAAGAAAAACCACCTTCTGCAGATTTCAAATACCATTCAAATTTCTTCTTTTCATCCTTAATAGTGCCTATGCCTTTTTCGTAACAAAACCCAAGACTAATATTGTCCACCAGAATTACCACTTTCAGCAGATTTTAAATACCACTCAAATGCCTTCTTTTCATCCTTAGTAGTACCTATGCCTTCGTAATGGCAGAATCCAAGATTACATTGCCCATCAGAATTACCACCTTCTACGGATTTTGAATACCATTCAATTGTCTTCTTTTCATCCTTAGTAGTACCTATACCATATTGGTAGCAGAATCCTAGATTAAGTTGTCCACTAGAATTACCACCTTCAGCAGATTTTAAATACCAATAATATGCTTTGTTTTCATCTTTAGTAGTGCCTATGCCTTCGTAATAGCAAAATCCAAGATTGCATTGCCCACTATTATGAACACCTTCTGCAGATTTTAAATACCATTTGAATGCCTTCTTTTCGTCCTTAGCAACACCTATGCCATATTGGTAGCAGAATCCAAGATTACGTTGTCCATCAGAATAACCGCCTTTGGCAGATTTTAAATACCACTCAAAGGCTTTCCTTTCATCCTTAGTAGTCCCTATGCCATTTCTGTAGCAAAATCCAAGATTATTTTGTCCCTTGGAATTACCACCTTCAGCAGATTTTAAATACCACTCAAACGCTTTTTTTTCATCCTTAGCAATGCCTTTACCATATTTATAACAAGTACCAAGTTCACACTGCGCGCTGCAATCACCACTTTCGGCAGATTTTAAAAAATTTTCAAATTGTCCAATTTCATTCATTTTTATTTATAAATTATTATAATTAAAACAGTGTTGATGCAATAGAATATTTGGGGTTATGAATAGAATAAAGTATTTTTTCTATATACAAAATTTTTTTTATTTTAAATAATTTGTAATTATTAAATAAATTTGTCATTAGAAATATATACAGCGAAAGAAAAAGGCGATCACAGAAAAGATACAAGAATTTT